CCACAACTCATAATGCATAACTATAAGTGGGCTAACTGTATCAACGAACCATCGTTCTTAAAACATGAATACATATGGGTCGTCAAGGCCTCCGCCATATTTTACAAAATAAACCTATATCTACAAAGCCTCTAAGATTATTCGACATCAAATGGGACAGGGCCCCTGCCTAACCATAAGTCTGTAGCAAAACTCTGGCACGATGACTTATAGACTCGGCTGCACTCCGAATGAAGTGGAGTCTTACCGATCCTTCGCTGAATGCTAACATCGTTTACTATGAGGGATCGTCAAACTGATTACCTATACATGCAAGCATGAATGTAGCGTCCACAACAAAAAGGACGTCAGTACGAATAATGTACCGAGTATGTAAGGTAGAACCGAAACATAACAATAAGTCAACATTAATTAAGGACATATAAGAATCAACCTAAATCTCTCTATATGCATACTTATTATACTTATATACCTAATGCTTCTCTTTGAGACTATTACCCATATCGTATGATGCATGACTGCCCAACTGATCAGTGGTAGCTGCCCGACCGACCGTAGCTCGGTGGTAAATGCATAACTGCCCAACCGGTGGTAAATAATGATACATAACTGCCAAACCGGTGGTAACTGCCTGACCGGCCGTAGCCCGGTAGTAAATGCATGATTACCCGACGGGCCATAGCTCGGTGGTAAATGAAGATGCATGACTGCCCAATCGGCCGTAGCACAGTGGTAAATGAAAATGCATGACTGCGCAAACGGCCGTAGCACGGTGGTAAATGCATGAAGATGCATGTATCACTATATTATAAACATTAACATCTTTATCAAATACCTCAATAGAGACTTAGTAACATGCTTAGACATGCTTGAATATCATTTTACAGGAACGAATAACATAGACATCCTTAGCTGCTAAGAGTAGAACCACTTATGGAATAGCATTATGTTTACGTATCTTTACTTGGATTATGCCAAAAGAAAAAAGGATTAACCTTAACATACCTTAGTTGCTTATAAGAACTCGAGAAGGTCGTAGATGAAAAATCAGACTTGGATCACATTCATAAGAATTATACACAAAGTGAGAACCATGATTTCTACCTACGTTTTCTTATTCCAAAATAACTTATCCTCAAGGTGTTGGCATAAATTCCCAAAACGAAAGAATTAATCATTAACTAAAGGGATGCTGAACGCTGTTAATTCATTCTTCACACAAAATGAAGTGTAAATGTTATAAGTAGCTTTTGCCAAAATGAAAGCAAATGGCCATTTAATGCTTGGCTTCCACCTGGCCATGTATTGGCGGTGGGAATCTTATATTTGTGACAAATAGTGCCTATTAATACAAAAGATATCTACCACATACTTATCGCCATATTTTAGTACTGAACGTATATAAAAAACTATTTACTTTATTATCCAATTTTTAAAGTCCTAGTTATTAATAGTAATTGATAGGTAATTTATACAATTGAGACATATACCTATATTTCATAAAATTGGAATTATTGGTAAAAACACATAGATTCTAGTTTTCCACTTTAATAACAAGAATTCAATTTTTTGTATTATTAATTCTTAAAACAGTAAAAAGATAATATTCTTATGAGAAAATAATTTATATCCTTATAATAAAGAAAATTCCATTTATAAACTTCCTCGTTTTATGTATATAATTTAAAGCATATCCGGAAGTAGTATATTCATAACTATATAAAATTATATTTTTCAAACTTTTTTATATTCCAATCAAAAGATATATCATATCAAAATATATCTAACAGTATCAAGGTTGTTAACTTACGAGGTCTTACAATAACATTGTCAGAAATTCTCTATAGCCTCATGAATGACTTTAATCCCTTCAAGCTCATATGGATTACTACGACTCACCCTAGTATTAAAGTACAGGATGTTACAATGCTAACATTAGAGACCCCCTCTTCATTCTACACGTGTAATCATTTAGGTGCACACCTAATGACTCATCACCAAATTTTACACGTGTAAACCATGCACTTTAAGTGCTATGACTCATATATGCACACTTAGTGCCACCCTTGGCCAAATTAATGCCATGTGGCAGCCCATTAAAGTTCCTCTTTACATGTGTCATCCCTTGGTCAACCTTTCATTACATGATGACACCACATACTTTTGCATGTACGGATATATAACACTTACTACTTGTCCACATCCCACATGGCTTATGTCCGCGTACTACTTATTTAATTATCTTATTAAATTTATTAGTCTTACACTACAATCTTCCATTTAACCAACTACACATATAATTAATTCCAGCACTCAATTTACTTAAATACTAATATAGTTCATATACCTTACTATCATGATCATGTGGTATAGCATTAGTGTATAAATACGGGGTATTATAGCTTGGAACGTGTTTCATCTCAAAATGTCAAACTTCGGCGATACTCAATTTCTTCGATTCTTTTACCCTCTGACCTTCATAAAACTTACTTATCACTTGTTTGGAATATCACAAATACTTATATTCTAAAAAATAGACTTGTCCTTGAACTTATGTCAATTATCTTATAACAAATCCAACGTAGAAAAGTACGGTATGTAACACGTAATGTATTTTAGGACTAGTTAGTGTATTTGGATGGGGCTACGGGAGCCTTGGGTGTGATTTGGATGGTTGGCGGATCATTTTGGGACTTCGAAGAAATGTTGAAGGCTGCAGGTTCTGGTGCAATCGTACCTGCGAGGATTTGGCCGCAGAAACGGCCCGGTGGTCGCAGAAGCGCATTTTGGCTGGAGCTGGATAAGGCCGCAGATGCGAGGGATTTTTCGCATCTGCATGGCACAGGTTGAGCAGCGGATGCGGATGCACAGGCGCGCTAAGTGGTCCGCAGATGCGGAGTTGTATGGGAGCGTGGGAGCTCGCAAGTGCGGTAGAACTTCCGCAGAAGCGGACTCGCAGATGCGAGGGTGTGTCGGCAAAGGCGAAAAAGATGGAGGCTGATGAAGGATCGCAGATGCGCTCTTGGACCGCACCGGCAAAACCGTAGATGCGATTAAGTGAGCCGCAGGTGCGAGAATCGCTGGTAAGAACATAAAAAGCAAGGTTTTGGTCATTTTTCTCATTTTGGAATTTTGAAGCTTGGTTTGAGGCGATTTTTGAGAGGAATTTTGCTACAATTGAAGAGGTAAATGAAATTTAATCACCTTTGATGTTAGATATTGATTACCCATTGATTATTACCCCTAGTTTATGTGAATTTGAGGTGAAATTTGGGGATTTTAGACCATGTGGTTGGAGAATGAGATTTGGTGATTTGGGGTTCGATTTATGTAATGAATTGGATGAATTTAGTATGGTTGGACTCGTAATTGGATGTGTGTTCGAAATTTGTGAATTTTATTGGGTTTTGAGGTGTGAGCCTGGGGTTGACCTTTTGGGTTAAATTTTCATATTTGATTCAAGACTTTAGCTTTATCATTTCGGATTGTGTACTATGGCTATTATAGATAGCATTAAGTTGCTTTGACTAGATTCGAGTTGCTCGGAAGTCGATTCGCGAGGCAAGGGCTTGTTAGAGTATTGAGTTGCGCATTTTGAGGTAAGTAACATTTCATAACTTGGAATTGAGGGTAATTATCCCTTGGGAACCATGTTATTTGTGATGTGTTGGGGTGACGCACATGCTAGGTGACGGGCGTTTGGGCGTGCACCGGGGTAATCATGATCCGGGTTGACTTTTGTACTATGTTGCTATCATGTTTTGTTTTATCTGTGTTTTTTCCTACTTGTTATATTAATTGAGCTATGATTCATGTTAGAAATCATATTTAGGCTAAGTAATTATTATTTTTTTTTACCAAATATACCACTAGGCAGGCTGCCTAGTGGCTAATATATAAATAAAATCCCAAAATGGGTCCAAAGCTTACAAGATGTCCAAGCCAAAATAGAAGATGCACAACGTTACTAGCTACTAAAAAGATAGAGAAGCTAAAGTCTAATGAACTAGCTATTATAACATTATCCGCTGAACGCTTCCTTCTCCTGTCAGTGTATGTGAATCCAATTGCCAGTGGCAAATACCAAGCAACACCTATCAAGCTCTCACCAGGCGCCAGTGTATCCAGTCCATAGGCTAGAATGAATTCCAAACATCTCCACCACAGAATTGAAGCCAGCATAGTCTTCCAATCATTAGTGTTGCTACAATATGATTTCCATATGTAGTGTACTGATTGTATCCAAGTATAAATCATGTGGTTGATCCTCAATATTATCATGTAAAAAGCATGGCTACACGTGTCTTGAGGCTGGCTTTAGGCAGGCTTTTCAAGGCAAAAGCTAGGTTGGGGCTGGCTTTAAGCATGCTTTTCAAGGCAAAAGCTAGGCTGGGGCTGGATTTAAGCAGGCTTTTCAAGGCAAAAGCCAGGCTGGGGCTGGCTTTAAGCAGGCTTTTCAAGGCAAAAACCAGGCTGGGGCTGGCTTTAAGCAGGCTTTTCAAGGCAAAAGCTAGGGTGGAGCTGGCTTTAAGCAGGCTTTTCAAGGCAAAAGCCAGGCCGGGGCTGGCTTTAAGCACGCTTTTCAAGGCAAAAGCCAGGCTGGGGCTGGCTTTATGCAGGCTTTTCAAGGCAAAAGCCAAGCTGGGGCTGGCTTTAAGCAGTCTTTCAAGGCAAAAGCCAAGCTTTTCCTTAACATTTGAACATATCAGAAGTAGAATAAATTGCACCATCCAATACCTGCTTATCACATTTGTCCGGTACACTATCAAAGCACCCCCAGAATGAGCATGTGACCATGCTAATACCACCGGAAAGTACCTTAATAGCATACAGAACGAGACATAAAAACAACAAGCAAGTATGTGCAGATTCCAATCCTGTGAAGCCATCAGTCTGGCGCTCTTCTTTTTGCTATTCTAACCCTAAGTTTAGGAGTTTGAGACTTGTCTAAGTTAATCAACCTCCTCCCTGCACTAGGCAGTTCAGAGAATGAGTGAAACTCAGTTGTACCTGCAAAAGAGAAAACAATGTTAGCTATAAAATCCGCCACTGAGTTGCCTTCTCTGAACACATGTTGAAAGATCACATTGAAGTTGCCCTTTATCTCTCTTATTTTCTTCACATCATTTGCAATTACCCAAGGAGGATCCCTTTCCCCTCTATCACTTTCTTCATCACTAATGAATCAGTCTCCAATATGAGAGGGTAAAGATCATTCTCCACACAGTATTCCAATCCTTGAAGAATAGCCTTAGCTTCAGCCACCACATTAGTTGTCACTCCCAGGTCTACCGCCCTTGCATACACCACATCACCTTCATCATTCCTCACACAAAAGCCTAATGAGCTAGGACCAGGATTTCCTTTTGAGGCTCCATCAGTATTGCATTTGTACCAATCATGAAAAGGAAGCTGCCATGTTACTCTTGTAGTGATAAATATAGGTTTATATCCTTCAAAATATTGAATTATGTCTGGCCATAACAATGGAATATTAGGCATCCAAGCATATCTCACCCTTGCCAGTTGATGTAATGTCCTATTGATCTCATGAATCACCCTATTTGTCGACACTGAACCCCTATGTTTACCTGCATTTCTTCTTTTCCAGAGTTCCCAAGTGATGATAGCCGGTACTGCTTGAAACAATGGCTTTAGCTTTGGACAACATTGAGCATACCACCAATGACTTATAACCTGCTTCAATTGAATCAATGGCACAGTAATTCCAGCAGCCCCCATGAACAATTTCCATACTTTAGAGGCAGTAGGACTTGTGATAGATATATGCTCAATAGATTCCTCTTGGGGCTGCTGACAACACCAACACCTAGATATCACCATCTGCCCTTGCCTCCTCCATATGTCATCAGTGGCTAACTTCTTCCTCCATAACTCCACAAGAAGCAGGATATCTTAAATGGTAAGCCTTTAATCCACATTAACTTGAATTCCTGATTAGGATCAGCTCTATGCCTTAATATTTGCCAAGCACTGCTAACACTGAACTTGCCTGAAGGAGTTGGCATCCAGTATGGCCTATCCTAGTATTCCTCACTACCTTCATAATGTACATTTAGCCTTATATGTTCTGCAATTTCCTCATTGAAGGTTTGATCTAGCAGCTGATCATCCCATGTTTCACCTTGCCGTAATTCTGCCACATCCTGAAGATCTTCATTGATTGGAAAGTCTTCAGGTAATACATGAAAAAATGCACCCAATCCAGTCCAATTTTCATGCCAAATATTAGTTGTTCCACTCTTCAATTTCCATAGAATCTCATGTTCTACTTCTTCCCTAGCATTCAACATTTTTCTCCAAACATTAGACCTCCTTCTAAACTTCACCACCGTTAGTATCTCCTTCTTGCAACTTATTCCACATGAAATTAGACCATAAAGATTTTGTGGTCCTAAACCTCCACCATAGTATAGCAAACAATGCCCCCGACACATCATGTAAGGACCTAAAACCTAGCCCCCCTTCCTCTTTGGGAAGGCAAAGATTTTGCCATGAGGCCCAATGTCTGCTTCTCCCTTCTTCCTTTGTGCTCCAAAAGAATCTAGCAAAAATCTTATGAAGATGCTCCAGGACATGTTTTGGTGGATGCAGGACTGATAACATGTGGACTGGCATACTTTACAACACACTAGTAATGAGTGTTGCCTTTCCTCCAAATGACAGCAGCTTTCCTTTCCATGAATGCAATTTGGCCTTTACTTTCTTGATAAGATCTTCATAATATTCCTTCCTCCTTCTAGTGTAGAAAACAGGACATCCTAGATATGTGAAGGGGAATTTACCTTTTGCAAATCCTGTAATAGCTCCAACCGCCTGACGCAATCCATTAGAAATCCTTGAATACATGTAGTATGAACTCTTATCTTTGTTGATCATCTGGCTTGATATCTTCTCATAGTTACCCAACACTGCCATAATCTTACTCAAGGATGGAGGATGAGCAGAAGCAAAGATTATAGTATCACCAGCATATACCAAGTGGTTTAAATGATCAGACCACTTAGGCATTCCAAATCCCACAAATGACATGTTTTCAAATAGTTTATTCAAAGACCTAGAAAGTACCTCAGCTAACAGAATGAACAATGCTAGTGATAGAGGATCCCCTTGCTTCACACCCCTTGTAGACTTAAAGAAACCTGAGGACTACCCATTCACCAATATTGAATACCAGTTATTTGACATCAAATTTCACACCATGTTGATGAAGTGCTCAGAAAATCCCTTCTTCCTTAGTACATGCAATAACTACTTCCATTAAACCCTATCATAAGCCTTAGCCATATCAAGCTCGATCACCACATTAGCTGGCTTTCCCCTTAGCCTTATGTTAGTGACAATTTCTTGAGTCAAATGTTCTCAAATATACTCCTACCCTTCACAAATCCGGATTGATTAGGAGATATTAGAGAAGGCAGAAAATTTTCTAGTCTATCATGTAACACTCTAGACAAGACCTTGTTAATGAAGTTGCTCAAGCTAATAGGTCTTAAGTCAGAAAAGGTCTCAACTCTAGGTTTCTTAGGCAGCAACACAAGATTGGTGTGAGAGATGGATTTAGGCAGTGCAACTCCTCTATAGAAGTGTAGCACCATGTTGTGTATATCAGCACCAATAACATCCCAGCATGTTTGATAAAATAGGCCAGTGAATCCATCTGGACCACTAGCACTCTCCCCACTAATCTCAAAAAATGCTGTCCTTACCTCTTCAATTGTTGGCAATATGCAAAGTTCCAAATTCTGTTCCACAATGACCATCGAAGGTACATTATTGAGCAAGGAAAAGTCAGATGCATCACCTTCATTTGTGAACTGTTCTTGATAAAAGTCCACTGCAGCTGTAGCCAATTGCTCCTGGTCTTCAATCCATACCCCACTTTCACTTTTGATCCTCTTCAGCTGCAATTTCTTTCTTTTGCCATTGACATGATTGTGAAAGAAACTTGTATTCCTATCTCCTTCAGCAAACCAAGTCATCCCAACTTTTTGCTTCCAATACTGCTCCTCAATACTCAAGTATTTCTTCAATTCAGATAGAGCCTTTTGAAGCACAATCCTGTTCTCAATTGTAGGCTCTTCATCAAACAACATCTCTTTCACCCTAACAATGTCCTCCAAAATAGCCAATTGCTTGAATATATCACCAAATATTTCCCTACTCCATTTCGACAGTGCTGCCTTCACCCTCTTGAGCTTCTGCTTGAACATCAAAACAGATCCCCTATGAAATCAGCTTCCCAATTCTGCCTCACCACATCCATAAATGTAGTATGTTTAGTCCAAAAGTTCAAGAACCTGAAAGGCTTGACAAAATTGGTGGTCTGCTCCCCACATGTCATTAACAAAGGTGCATGATCTGATACAGTTCTGATTAGATGTTCAACTTCAATAGTTGGCAACATGTTCTGAAATGGAAAATTCACAAAGATCCTATCCAATCTTTTGAATATACATGCAGCATTGGATCTCCCATTCCACCATGTAAATGGACTTCCTTTGTATCCTTGCTCAAACAAACCACAAGAATTTACACAAAATGCAAAATCCTCATATTCAGGCGGGTGTACCAGAAGTCCTCCTATTTTCTCATCTTCATGTAATATCACATTGAAATCCCCTCCTACCAACCATGGCAATTTCATATCACTTGCTAAGTAATACAAGTGATCCCACAATTCCAACCTCTCAATTGCTGAACATTTTGCATAAACAAATGTCATCATCATGTGCTGCCCTAGGTCATGGTGAAGCACTCTCACAGTCACCTATTGCTCAGTATCCTCCACTAATTCCCATTCCACCACTGCATCAAAGAACAACCATATTTGACCATTAATATTTGCATAAACCGTCTCTATATTCAACCTTCTATGAATCTCTTCTTTTGAAAAGGTTCCATCAATGCAACTACACAAAAATTATGCTCCCTATTCATGTTGATCACCCTAGGAAAGTCCTTCTGTGTATTCATAGACCATATATTCCATTTTAATGTCTTGATCATCATTTAGATATTGAAGTTGCCCTCCTGGGCATAATTCTTAAAGGTTGTTGTGACTCTTTATTCTGATTCTTCTTTGTTTTCTTGCCTCCTTTAGCACTAGCTGTAGGTGATAGATCCCCATCCCTAGCCACCCGTTTGAATTTTTCTTCTGTTGATTCATCATCCCCCTCATCCTCCATAGGATTTTGTCTCATTAAGTCTTCATCAATTGGTGCCACATTGTGTGTAACTAAATCATGTAGATGTTGTAGTGGAGTCTTCAGTGGAACATTAAGCTGTAGTTGCATAATTTGATCAGTGCCATATTCCATAGGTACTTCCTCTATTTCTCCAGATGCTCTTGGAACAATTGCGTGCTCATCATTCTTTTCACTGTTATTCTTTGATCCTACTGTATCATCCCTAACCTTCACATTGTCATCAAGTTTGTTCTCCAATGCATACACCGGAACACTATCTACATATGCCAAAATCTTGCCAGTTGCACTAGGAATAGTGTTAACTATCGGTGCTTCATCAGGTGACCCTAGCGCCAGGCTGGCGTCGCCAGCCTAATGCCTGGGGTATCTGGCTTTAGGCCTGGCGTCGCCAGCCTAACACCCGGGGAGCCTGGCTTTAGGCCTGGCATCGCTAGGTGGGCTGTTATCCCTCACTTTGTCTCCTGTTGTCTTTGTCGTGCCTATTTGATCATCCTCCACCTCAATTGCATCACTCCCTCCAGCCTTTGTTGAGTTTATCTCATCAAGGTTCTCAAGCTGCCCAGAATCTGCAAATGTTTGAGACGACATATCTTGACATGATTGGTTTGTAGTCACATTAAGTTGCCTTAGCTCCTCTTTGCTAGTTCCAAACCTTCTATGAACCCAGTCGATTGTGGATTCCTTATTAGTCTTTTCATCAGTACTTTGATCACTAGGAACAATAGGATTAGCCTTAGCTAAGTTCCCATTATGCTGATCTTTCAACACTTTCTCAACTACTTCCTTCTACACACGTTTTAGTTGTTGTTGATTATCTTCTCCCACTGGTTTAGTATTAGCATCCTTCCCAACCCTAACCCCAGAGTTATGATTAGGGCTTGAAGCTCCAGTATTGCCTTCTTTTTCCTTCTCATAGCCCTTCTTTGACTAATTTTCCCCATATTCCTTCTTCTTGCCATTGCTAATATCCTCACCTTTGCCTTCAGTAATTTGTAGAATAGGTTGATGAGCTTCCTCAACCTCTAATGCATTAAATTTGTTCTTGGTTGCTACTTCCTCAAGTTTGGCATTCCCTTTACCCTTGTCATCTTTCTTACCTTGTTTGTTATCAACAATGTGACCCCTATTATCCCGTTGGTATTTGTTCTTCCTTGCTTGTATCCATTCCTGCTTGGCATGATTAGTAACAGGCTTTCCAACCACTTTTTCACTTGGCAGAACCTTTGTTGAGTTTGCTGCTATACCAATTGCTTCCGTAATTACCACAACTGTCTTATCCTTGACTTGATCCTCAACATCTTCATCAAATCTCTTGTGTAACTCAGGATGAATTAGCCAACATTCTGCCTCACTATGCCCTTGTTTCTTGCAAGGCTTGCAATATTTAGGCATATGATCATACTGTATCCTAATCCATTTAAACTCTTCTGGCCCAGATTCATCAGCTTCTTCAACAATCTTAATACATTTAGGGAAATTACCTAACAAAATAAACTTCCACCTTCACCTTAGCACAACTAGGTCTAGTCCCATTTTGAGTTGTGAGGTCTACATGTAATGGGTTACCAACTGCACGAGCTAATGAACTACACATTCATTACAAAAGAAATTTGGAGGAAGTTCTGGAAAGCTATTCCAAGCTATGGCAATTGGAGTCTCTTCATCAGGTGTCCACCATGAATTCCATTTTGTACAACGCATCTGCCACATATCTGATTGAGCCTTTAAGTAAAAAGCCGGCTTTGAAAGAAGATGAACATAATCCTCCAATATTGACAATCTAATCAACACATTATTATCTTCAATCAAGCCTACTAAGCAATGACCCTTAATCTCACATTGAATTGGAATCACTTTACGTAATTCACCAATAACAGGCTTTCCATACGAAAATTTCCCAAGAACTGTAAGTTGAAGCCCTTGTTGTACGATGGATTGTTTCACTTATTGCTTCTTCGACTTCACAACTGGTTCTCCATGCAGGAACTCAATAGGTTTCAATGCTAGCGTAGCTAGGGTTTGTGTGGGAGCATTAATGGTGGTAGGTTTTAGAAGTTTCGAATAATCCATGGGTTGGGTATTGT